ATTCCAAAACTGATTATTGTTGTATTTAAACAAAAGAATGATATGCTTAAATGCATAGCCCATGGACATGGACAATAGGGTAGAGAAGACCTGGGGGTTGAGTAAGGACCGGGAGGAGGGGGGAAATGGGAGATATCTGTAATACTATCAACAATAAAAATATATTTAAAACAAGATATTGTGGAAATCATTATTGGGAAAAAAGAATTATATATCCATTTCAAATAATCAGAGCTACTTTTAAAACATTTTTATTGAATTTATTGGGGTGACATTGATTAATATAATTATATAGGTTTTAAGTGTACAATTCTATAACACATCATCTGTATATTGTTTTGTGTATTCACCACCCAAAGTGCCCCTTTTACCCTCTTCTATCTTCCATACCCCCTTTTCCTCTGGTAATCAACATGCTGTTGTCAGTGTTTGAATTTTTGTTGTTATTGTTTTGCTTAATTCCTTCATCTTTTTCATGAAGTTCCCTAATCCCCCTCCCCTCTGACAGCTGTCAGCCTCTTATCTTTATCTATTCTATCATAGGGTCTCAGCTAACCCAGTATTTGCCTCTTTGAGTTAGTAACACCACAAGAATGGTCAAGTAAGGTGAAATTGAAATCAGAAGGCCTGGATCAGTCAACAAATATTCATTGAGTATCTACTGTGTGCCAATTTTAAAGCCTCCTTTAGAGGTAACACTGGACTGGCTTTTTCTTGTCTTAGCTATCTTTCTAAGCCACAGACTTTAAAAACAAATGTTTTGAATTATACAGCTTTAGGACTGCTCATGGAAGGATGTAGGTGATACCCTAAGTTTAAAAAACAAGTAATAACTATAATGACCCCATTTTTTGTAAAGATCAAAAAAATAAAATGCTATACACTTTGTGTTTGGGTGTGTGTGTGTTCATTGAAAAAGACATGGAAGGATTACACATTAAACTATGAACAGTGGTTACCTTGTGACTAAGGACAGCCAGAGGGAATGGTCATTTTTTATTTGTATACTTGTATTTGAATTCTTTAGTATAAGCATGTATTATTTTTGTAATTAAAAGATGAGTAAACAATGTTAAATGGATAACATTGTTCATGTTTATAGCAACAATATATACATTATATACAATGTATAAGTATTATATATACATATATTATATATATGATATTGTACGGGGTGGGGCAAAAGTAGGTTTACAGTTGTTCCTATGGAAAATAATACAATAAGTAATAAATAACAATACAAGAATAAACTGTTTTTACATACTCAAACTGTAAAACTACTTTTGCTCCACCCTGTATATACATTTACTATATATATGGTGTAAATGTTATTCTTGACTGTTATTTACATACACTGGATTCACATGTGTAAGGGGAAATCCACCTGCTGGCAGTGCTAGTTAATGATCTGTTTTATGTTTTCAAAGGGATTGCTTTTTTAAAAAAACAATAGCTGAGGTTTTTACTTATTTATGCTTTATCATTGGGGTCTGCTGTATATATTTTTAAATAATTTTTTTATTTTTCAATTACAGTTGATGTACAATATTATATTTGTTTCAGGTGTACAACCCAGTGATTAGACAATTATATAACTTATCAAAGGGATTGCTTTAAAAACTTTAAAAAAAATCCTCACCCAAGGATATTTTTTATTGAATTTTAAAGAGAGAAAGAGAGAGAGAGGGAGAGAGAGAGAGAGAGAGAGAGAGAGAGAAACATTAAAGTACTTGCCCTGACTGGGGATTGAACCGGAAAACTTTTGGTGTTCAGGAAGATGCTCCAAATAACTGAGCCACCTGGCCAGGGTCAAAGGGATTGCTTTCTAATTCTTTTTCTTTTTTAAAAAATATACTTTGATTTTTTACATAGAGGAAGGGAGAAGGATAGAGAGTTAGAAATATCGATGAAAGAGAAACATCATCGATCAACTGCCTCCTGCACACTCCCTACTGGGGATGTGCCTGCAACCAAGGTATGTGCCCTTGACCAGAATCGAACCTGGGACCCTTGAGTCCGCAGGCTGACGCTCTATCCATTGAGCCAAACCGGTCAGGGTGCTTTCTAATTCTTGTTTCCTTATTTCCTTTTGTAATTTCTGGTTAGTATACACATTTCAGTTTTTCTAATGACATGAAAAATTTACATCAGAAGGGTAATTGATTGTCTAGAACAGAGCTTTTTTATTTTAAAACATTTTTTAGGAGAAATTAACTTCTTTTGCACCCTGTGAATTAAGGGAGAATAGTATTTCCTTAAAAAGGAAATAAAAGAAAAAAGGTTAAGTTTCATATCCTTCAGAAACACAATAGTCAATGGGTTTCGTTTTTTAAAATAGTTCTGAAATACCCACTGTTTCCTAGTCAGATGTAGCACTTTTTCATATTACTCTATGAGATTATAATTATAATTGGGCTTTAAATTTCATGAAGGCTGGGTTAAGGGCCTATCAGGTTCACCACTGCAAATAACACAGAGATGGGAAGATAGCTGGGGCTTAATGTTGGTGCAAAGAGGCCATTAGGTGCATATTCTGAGGAGAGAACTGGCACCAAAACTATCATGGGAGAAGTTTCAGGCATTTATTCGTATATTTAAAAATACTGATTATGTAGTTTGTTATCTGTCCTGAGGATATAAAGAAAAATAGTCTTGCCCTAGCCCTTTTGGCCCAGTGAGCATCAGCCTGCGGAATGAAGGGTCCAGGGTTCGATTCCCATCAAGGGCTCATGCCTGGGTTGCGGGCTCCCTCTGACGTGCAGGACGCGGCCAATCAGTAATTCCCTCTCATCATTAATGTTTCTATCTCTCTCTTCCTCTCTGAAATCAATAAAAATATATTAGAAAAAGAAAAATAGTCTTGTTATAGTATTGCACATGATTTGAGTAAGATTGCTACTTCACTCTTGAGTTTTCTGTGTCCTTTGTGGGTGAATAGATTTGTTGCTTTATGTGATGCTAAGCATATATTGTTTACTCTGGGTAGCCTGGGAGTGTTACAAATAGAAGCGAAATTAGAGCTTCGAAAACTTTAAAAATTTTTGAAGCACACTTGGTTGTTAAAAGGAATATGAAAAAGGACAGGCAGATATGTCCTATACCTCAAAGTTTAGTAATTAAATTCACCTTTAAAATTACAAAGAAAACTGTTAGAGGACTATCTTAGCCCAGACATTTATCTCCCTTCAGAAAACAGGAACTCAGACAATTCCTAAATTTTAACGGTCTATTAAATCCGAATACCACATTAACAATGGTATGAAATTATTGAGATCAATAATTAGTTTTCGAGAATGTTTCGTAGCTTCACATGAGAAAAGACAAGCTCTCCTCCCCCTTTTACTTCTCATTCGTATGCAGTATCACATTAAGAATGAAAAATACATGTCAAAACAATCTTTGTGTAGTTTATTATATATCAATTATACTTCAATAAAGCTTCTTAAAAATCACAAACAAAACAAAGAAATAAGAATTCTACTTTATAGGGGACAAATAAAGGAATTGCTTCATTTATTTCTTCAGAGCGGTTACTTCTGGGGAACAACAAAGTATCTCTACAGAGCCTGGTAACCTAAGGAAGCAAATTTTATCTACTTGGTCCTTTTCTTTTTTCTTTTTTAGCCTACATGTTTATTTCTATCTTTACGCGATGGAAAAACAAAACAAATCACCATTTTAGTAGATTGTATTATGCTGCAGTTGCACTACAGAATTAGTTGAATGCTCTGTGCTTGTAGAGTATCATTTCCAGCCTCCAAACAGGATTTTAGAAGCTTGGGAAACAGCCTTGGAGTTGAAATATACACATTTTCCCGACGTGCCCCAAACAGCGTATTCTTAGGTTGTTTCGAAGTGTGTGATGACCAGAGGGGGCTCCTCAAAGATCTCTTCCAAATCCACACACACACACCCTCTCAATAAAGACCTTTTCCTAGGTGTTTTTATTTTTATTTATTATTATTATTTTTTTAGCCTAGGTGTTTTTGTTGGCGGGTGTGGGCAGCAGCTTGCTGAAACGACTCGAGCGACTCTCCCGAGGTTTAGGGCTAAGTCGGAGTCTCTCTCCCCA